TACGGGGGCTTCTTTGACAGCGTCTGCAGTGCTAATTGTGAAACTCTTGACAGGATCCGTTACGCAAACTTGCTCTGCTAGTTTGCTTTTGTCAGCAACTTTGACATATATTTTTAAAAACTTTTTATAGCTTCCTTTCATTCACAATCTGCTCGGCATATGTGGCCTTTATCTGTGGTGTCCTGTGTCACATTGAGAGTGATCCCTCCCCCGACCCCCTTTGGGAGAGGCCACATACAGTTGTGGTTTTCTGCAGAGCAGTTTCACTGGGCCAACTGCCGGTTAAATTGTTGCTCAAGATGAACAACAGTAGTAAGTAAATGAGGAAGAGATGTCGGATTTTCCATCATCTCTCTCTTCAAATTGAAGTCGTGCCACTCATTCGGCGGATCTTTATGTTCATTATTTTTTCCTATTTCCTAAAGTTTCTTCCTCGCGTTTTATTTTATTTAGTCAGAAAACCGCCTCCTGAAATTTTTACAAGTCACATCTACTCCCCCATCCACTTATCTAAAAATGATTCAGTGGTTAAATGTCAGAGCTGTCCGTGCCATTAAGGCCAGCATGTTTGAAGTAAGGACACCCTTGCTCGCCCTCTCCCTCCCTCCCTCCTTCTCCCTCTCTTGTCTCTTCTGATTCTCTCCCTTCTCCTTCCTGCCCTCCCCCTCCTCTCGCCAACCAACACAACCAAAGGGTGGATTGAGGGGCTGATGTGCAAGACCTTGTCATTCAGATTAGGGCCACATTGTCAGCTCATGGGCCCTTCTCTCTCTCGCTCTCTCTTTCTCTCTCCCTCTGCTTGCGTGTCCCAGATCATTCTTCCCACTGTCACCCTCGTCCTGCGGCCAGAGAAGACCTTATAAAGCCACATTCCTTCTCAACCACTTCTGTCAATTCTAACGCTGTCACTCAAATCAGTGTTCGGGAGAGCAGAGAGAGAGAGAGAGAGAGAGAGAGAGAGAGAGAGTGCCGAGTTAGCGGTGTTGCTCCCAGCAAGGACTGTGCTTTTTGGTCCGAGCTTGGGTGACGTGTCCATGGACAGTAAACTGTTTAGTTTTTTTTAATTGAGGTATTTTCAGTTGAGGTTATTTTTTTTTTTTTGCCTTTCAGAGACACTTAGACAGAAAGGAAATGACAAAAGTAGAAGCATCTCTTATGATCCAAAGGAGAGAAGAGAAGCTACACAGTCTTTGTTGTCAGGCATCTAGAAGGGCTTTAAATCTTCAACTATTTAATTTGGAAACTAGCAATTTGGAGTCATTTGACTCAATGGAAAAAGGCTACCGGAGTCAATGTGTTATTTTTAAAACTCTTTCTGCATAGAATGAGTTTTTGCTCAGGATGTGAGATTTCCACCACATTACCTTAGTCACTCTTTGTCCTGCACTATAAAACAGTTCCAGCCACGTTTCTCATCCGACCGCATCTTGACTCACTGCCACAGTTTTATTGTCAAGTCTGATCTAATTGCTACCGGAGCTTTGTGCTTCTTTTTTTTTCTTCTTCATGATGAGCAGCAGTGATTCAGCAGTGGAACCAAACCCTTCTTTTCAAGATGGCGGACAGTTTCTTTATTAAGGAGGGGTGGGGGGGGGAGGTTGAAAAAAACGCCGAGTCTTTAGCCACATCATAGCGAAAACAACAGCTCTATTGATCTGAGTGAGTCGACACAGTTTCATACCGGGTGTCCTCCTCATCCTTTTTCCTTGCATGAAGCCCTCGAGGCACGCTGGCATGTCTCTAGAGAATGCTCAGCTTTGCTTCAATGCAGCATGATGTATGAATACTAGCTGCAGCCTGCTAACAGGTGCTGTGCGAGTACTGAAACCGGTTATGAGTCAGGGAGTTTCAAGATGACTTCCCTCTTCCAACTGCTACTTCAAGTGAAGAAAACTGTGCTCCCATGCGCTGACACTGCCTTTGTAGTCACGATGACCATGTGTCATCCAAATTAAAAGTGAACACAACTCCTGACGCCCTGCAAGTAAAGCCAGTTGAGTTTGTGTTAGGATGCTTTTTTTTTGTGCCTTCAGGTAAGGTTAGACTCAAAAGAGTGTAGAAAATGCATGCATGTCATGATGTATGCCTATGTATGGTAAATATATGTATCAGCAGGTGGTTATGTATTTGAAATATCTAAATTGTAGTGAATTTATTGAATTTAGACGTGTTTCTGCTCTATGACTTTCAAAATGTCCTTACGGCTCAAAGAACAAAAGAGGGTTTCGTAAGAAAGTGTGAGAGTTGAATCCACCGTGAGAGTCGCTCCCTCTGCATCTCTGTCGTGCCTGGTCACCATCAGGTCCGTGCTCGCCCCAGTGAACATTCAACGCTGTCGGTGAGTTTGTGCTAATTTGGACCAAAACCATCGACCGTTGATTGTACCCTGTGGCCAGTCTTTGTCTTCCCGTGTCTCCAAAAAAAACTCAGAAGGACAAAAAAAGGTAAAACCTGCAGAAACCTGCACACGATGACTCTCTCAGCAGTCACATACATCCATCCCTCTACGAACAAACAAACAAAAACAACCTCCATCTTTCAAAACCACAGCAAAGGTCACAATCAACATTCATTGCTGTCGGTGGGTTTAACTGTGTGGAAGAGCTCGCTGAACGATGAATGCAACTGTGTCCCAGATCTCATCCCGACGTCAGGAGGAATAGTGTCACGAAATGCTGATGATGGCCTTATTTATTTCTCAGCCTGCCCCATGCCTTCAACCCCCTCTCCCTCTCCCCCCCCTCAACAACAGGCGCACACAGGCAGTGTGAATTGACAGGCAGTTCAGATTGCATCTTGATCACGCACGCGGGGGCGGAGGGGTCCCAGCAGCAGAAGATGAAAAAAAAAAAGATGTACGAGATGTTTGAAAGAAAATGACCTTTTAGGGAATATATACAGAATATATGGCGTGCTTTGCATCAAGGCTTTGATAAATGATATATTTGTTAATATGACATTCAAATAAACAGCAAAAATATGTTTAATATATACGGTAGATTCCAAATGACCTTTTAGATAAGAAGAGGCTCAGTCATCAAACTTCATGATTTAATCTGGCTGATTTTAAAGATTTGACTACACCAGGGAAATGTGAGTATGAATATGTAGGCAGACCATCGTTTTTACACGTCGAGCAATAGCTGAAATAGTAGACATGTTCTATAGAAATAAAATGTTTATGTTTTGTGAAATAAAAAAATGAACCTGGGTTTTAGTCAATTTTTTAAAGAATGTTTTGGTTTTATTACATGACATTGATTTGTAATATTTCATTAAATAAATTGTCTCCAGTCCAGCCCTCAGTGATGTGTTCAGTCTCTTTTGTAAAATCGACTGTTTCTTCCATTTAGTTGCAGGAGATGTGTGAGTGATGGGTGTGGGTGTAAGTATTCAGGGCTGTTAAATCATCTGCTGTAGATTATGCCAGCCGATTGACAGCAGCACGCCGCTCATCATGTCAGTCTTATTTGCCGCAAACATTTTCTCTTCAGTTTCAGTATCTCCCCACATCATTCAAAAATTAATTTTATATGCATATATTTTTTTTGTGCAAATAATATACATATAATCTAAAATAACAATGGCAACCTTTTAAAGAAACGTTTTTTTAAATAAAGATTTTGGACTAAATACAACTCTAGTTCAGCTGTGACAAAAAGGCGCAAACAATCCCGTCATCAATCTGTACAATATAAAAAATATACAGATGACACTGACATCTATTCTTTTTTTTCCTCACTCATTTTCTATATTTTTTAAATGTTAATCACACCTCTGAATTTGCCTCTTTCGTTTTTTTAAAATCATTTTAGGTTCAATTATTTTTATTTATATTAAATTACAACATGAGGGATGTGATGTAGTTTAAATGTAAATTAAATAAATAAAGACAACTTTTTTATCAAGCTTACCTCTTTGGAACACATTTTGCCCCCCAAAAAAATAGACTAAAGAAAAATGTTTTTGATTAAAGCAGTCAATCATTGACTTCTTATTAAATTAAATGTGATTATTTTCACAATGCGACATGCCCGTAGTGTTTCAGTTACACTTTACACGTTACAGTTAAACGTTGGTTTTTACAGCCTGGTGTAGTTTGATTTTGTCTTTGGATAATAAAAAAATCTGATGAAACTCCCGAACACGATTAGCTAGAAGTCAATCTGAAATGTGTTGTTTCCCGTTCATAACTGTTTGACCGGTGGAAATGAAAACAGTTCTGGTGCAACTGGAAAGCCCCGCCGCTTATAGTTTCATTTATGCAACACAGGGGTCACTGATTTTCAGCTGTCAATGTAACCCTGAAATATACATTAGAAGATAAACTGTATGACAAATAACGTTCTGATATATTCTCATTTTATGACTTCGCCTACTCATTTAAGGTCATTGTCAAAGGAGTCAAAACTGTGAAATGATGTGTGCAAATGTGAGACATGTAGCCCTGCTCTGTTAATTAATGACATGTTCAGGAGGACATTCATTGTGTAAATGTTCTAAACCACAATGAAATATACATTAGAAGATAAACTGTATGACAAATAACGTTCTGATATATTCTCATTTTATGACTTCGCCTACTCATTTAAGGTCATTGTCAAAGGAGTCAAAACTGTGAAATGATGTGTGCAAATGTGAGACATGTAGCCCTGCTCTGTTAATTAATGACATGTTCAGGAGGACATTCATTGTGTAAATGTTCTAAACCACAATGATACTTGTTAGAAAAACAACATCTAACCACTAGCACAGATCTATGAAACCAAGTGAGTCATAACACTCAGTAAAGAGCATTGTTCCTGAATTAGGTGTGCATCATTTAGCAAGAAAAAGAGTCAACTCATTTCTGCAAAGCTCGCTTCATGGTCCACTAATGCAAAAAGTGTTTGCAGGCAGCAGATGCATTCGTTAGCAAAATGGTAGAATGAGCAGATGAATTCTCAGGGTCATACAGATGTTCAAATTAATTCAAAAATTGGAAACCAACCAGATACTGTTCATAGAGACAAAAAGTATGACATCCTTTGTCCACTAGAGGGACACCAAAGTACAAGACAAGGAAAGGACTGAAGAGTCGTCCAACTCAGCTTTGTCATTTTGTATTTTACTACATTTACATGAAAGCAAAGTAAAGAGGCAAAACAACACAGCAGTCACAGCGAAGATTTATGATCACAATGGAAAAATAAATGTAAACTTGTATGTATAAAAAGATAAGAAGTATAATACACAGACATGGGACTGATGGATTTTAAGACAATCAAGAAAAAAAAATCACAATGGCAGGGTTTTATTTAAAAAACAATCATACCTGAAAAAAATCAAAGGCCTTATCATCACGCAAATGATGGAGTGCACTCATCTTAGAAACTTAACACATTCAGTGTTGTACTCCCTGTATGATGAACTCATTTATAGTAAGTTAGTTTTTGATCAACCTGAGAATCTGGACGTATAAAAATACATTTTTAAAATACAAAACTTTGATTCAGATTGTTTGTTAATGCTTCTTGTGTGAAATAAAGAATATATGCAGCTTCCATGTGATGGATCATGTGTTTCACCTCCGAGGACATAATGAATGGTTTTCAAGCTCACTGACCTAAATAATTACATTTACACCATGAGACATGAGAGAGAGGTTATTTTTTTAAGAAGCAGGTGACAGGTTTTGTTTCTTCATGACGGTCAGCTTAGACCGACTTTGCTGATTAATAAAATGATAAAATGATTATTTATTTATGAGTATTAGCTTAAAACACAAACTGGTCCAGAGACTGAAATGTTTCCTGGTCTAACATTGTAGGTTAATCTACCAACAGTCACAGGCATCCTTCATTTATAGATCCCTAACCCTGACCCATCCGACTATGGACACAAATAAAATCACATCTAACACATTTCAGTTTCTTAAACTACAGACTTAATCATTGATTTATCTGTACCAATAATCATGCTACATACTAGTAATACCATTTTTTAACACTAGAGAAAAGACTAACAGGTTTTCTTTGTTATTACCACCCTTCAAGCTCCTTTTAGAAAATGTTGACTCATTTGAAATGGGTTGTAGATTATTTTATATGTACTATTTTTGGTTTGACTTACTGAAGAGCTGTTGTCTCACAGTTATGATTTAAAAATGTAATCATGTTGACCTCTCTTTTTTTACTTAAACATTATATTGTTGCACATTCTTAAAAGGCTCTAAAAAAAGGAAGCAAGTAAATGATGGCAAAGGCGATCTTGATGTTTCTAAAGGTCATAGGAGCACAAATATGTTCAAAGAAGGATTACCTTGCATCCTCAAATAGTGGTATTCCCTTTAAGTGCTAGGTTGCTGTTCATAAACCCGTCCACTAGGGGTCTCTACTGTCTGATGTCAGCTGGTCTGAGCTGTCGCTCACCCTCAGCCAGGAAGATCTGCATGGCTCTGTACAGCAGGTGGACCCCAAGCTCCCGTTTCCTCTTCACTTGCCAGTTGGACACCACGCCGTAAAAGTCCCCCCGCTTCTTATTGGTCAGCATCTTCAACCCTGAGACAGGTGGAGAATAAATCAGTTTATTGACATTAAATAATAGACTGGCATGGTATACCATAAGTCTTATAAAGTAAGAACTATAACAATATTCATTTGATGTGTGACACTGATTTTTTTTCATATGAGAGGCAGTGACAAGGTGGTTTAATGAGGAATGAATATTCAAACGAGTGGATAACAAAGCTGCTCCTTTGTACTCACCAATGGCCTCCACCATGCAGGCCTCTCTTGTGTACGCCTCCACTGGGATGACGTTCTGGAAACAGTGCAGAGAGATGACGCCCTGCTCGGCGCCCCACACTTGGAGGATGTGCTGCACCTTGGTGCACAATTTCTGTCACGCAGAGATGAAAGGTTAAGGTCTAGCAGTGGTTTACATGTCGACTATTTTCAGGTTATTCCTAAGACCGCTCTGTGTGCACTGCTTTACCTTGGAGGTCTTGTCTCCTTTGTAATACTCTAAAGCCTCGTACAGGTGGCTGTATGGGCGGGAGCGTTTTCCTTTCCCCACATAAAAAATAGCATTGATAAATGTCTGGAAACACTCGTGCGGGGTCGTCGTGTGACTGCGGAATGGGAGGTTTTTTGTCACTCTGGAAAAGAAGAAAAAAGGTTGTAAAATTTTGAAACTGGGGTGTTTATCTGTACAATAGAAGTCCTACACATAAAAACCCAAGTAGTTAACAAGTCAACTTGACTGAGTAAACACAGTAAATGTTGTTCTTTATTCCTCAGCTATAAGAATCATTCAAATGATATTTATTAAAATAAGACATGTTACAAGACTAGCTACTTTCAGTCATTTTGGATCATAAACATAATGAACAAAATCCCCAAATAAGCCAAAAATAAACATGATAAATCTTTACGGGTCTTCGTTAAAAAAGTCTAAATATGACCTATTTCCATATTAATCGTAGCCAGCTGTCCTTATAACAGCTGGTTTATTTTAGGACTTTCAATGCCATTATTTAGAGTCAGAAATCGGAGAGAGAGGAATGACGCGTGGTAAAGGAGCCAAAAGTCGGATTCAAACCACAACCTCCGTACATGAGGCGCGCCATAACGAGCTATATATTGTAGAAATAAATTGAAATGCCAAATATGTATACGGCATCTTTACACATTAGGAGTTTTCCATATCTTGTTCCGCAGATTCTGCAACAACATCACACAGAAGAAAGCAAATAACATCAATCCAATGTACAGCAGACCTTGGGTCGAGCAGCAGGTAGTTAAAACTTGACTTGATGATGCCTTCTCTCCACTTCCTGTTCTGATCTGGTTGGTCGAATTGCTGGCACAGAGCCTGCTCGTCCGACTGGCAACAAGGCAGCTCGAAGGTCCTCAGCGCCCGGCACAGCTCTGGACTGTAACCCAAATCTAGAGAGAAAAGGAAAACAAGCAAATGTCTGTTTGAGTGTAAAGGACAATAAGCTAAATTATAATAAGAACATTAATATGCCTCATTCATTCAGTAGTTCTATTCATTTCCACCCACAAAGTAATAGCAGAGCAACAATGCAAATAATGAGTTTCATTTTGCATTTCATGCTTCATTATAGAAGTGATTTAACAGTCAACTGAAAGCTTCAAGTATTTTTGTACTTCACAATAAAGTCAATTAATAAATAATTTGGTAAACTGCTGATGTAGTAAAATAATTATTTCTTCAATTTATGTCTTCACACACTCCCTGTCTCACCAGAAAACAATACAAACCAAAGATACAATCATATCCTACCGTGGCTAAGTTAAGTTAAGTACTGAGCACTCGTTACCTGTTTGTGGCTGGTCTATCTGCTTCTGCTGAGGTCGTGATTTGGAGTTTGACTCCTGCAGCAGGCGGCACAGTTTTTTCATGTAACCGGGCCTGGTCCGGCTGCTGATAGGGCCCGGGCTCTCCCCGAGCTCCAACAGTCGTGACCTCAGCTCCTTGTCAGTCATCCCTCTGGTGTCTGGCATCACTCTCTCCTCTTCATTCTCCTCTTCCTGTGTCTCCCTAGGAGGCTTCTCGTTCTCCTTCCCTCTGTCCTCCATCATGTCGGTGTGCATAGATCGCCAATCGTAAATGATGGTCTCCTCGCTGCTGCTGCTGCTGCTGCTGGTGGCCGTGCTCATGCTGGAGCTGAGGGAGGTGTCTGCTGTAGGTGGGACATGGGTCTCGATCAGCTTGTGGCCCTCTTCTGTATCAGTGTAGAGATACTGCACTGGTTCCTCAATATCCTGAATAAGAGGTCGCCCCCCGGGAGTGTAAGAGAGTTTTGCCAGGTGCTGTGGCCTGCGGCAGCTTGACAGCCGGCTCATGCTGTACCTCGGGGTGCATCCAGTGCCTGGAGTGCAGGGAAGTTCGGAGTCTTCTCTGGACCTCCTTGGGGAAAAATAGCTGGAGCTGGACGAAGATGACACAGAGTCGGGTTGAGAGCTACACTCCTCTGTGATCCAGGCATCGTCATATTTTGGGTTACCTTCTTTGTCCCCAAGAGAAGCTTTATTTGTGTTTACCTTTGTTATTGCTTCATCTGTACATGTCAGATCATCTGTCAGGAATTCCCCGCCCTCTGCAAGATCCTGGCCTTGCATGGCCAGAATAATCTCTGCAAGGTTTCTTTCATAAGCGTCCATCGAAGAGTTCGGGTCTTTCTCCAGAACGACAGTGTCCGACAAAGTCTGCGACTGAGACATAGAGTTAGTGACGCTCTTGGAGAGGATGAGGGTGTCAGCTTGGCTATGACTAACACTTGAACCAGCTCTGAGGGTGCTGGACTGTGTATCCTGGGAATCAGTAGGAAAGGAGTTGCCTCCCATGCTGCTCCCTGAGTAGGACGGTGTATAACAAGGTGCATGTGGTGAATGGTAAAATTCTTGTCTGCTCTGAGACCTAGGCGTCTGGCGGCGTGTACGAACCGGTGTAGGAAGGGTCTCTTCAAACAGAGATGAGGTGGAGAGGAGGCTCGCTGGAGTTCTGCTTGTTCGCAGCGAGCAGCGGCTCAACCTCGAGCGAGTCCGGCCTGTCACAAAAGGACTCGGTGTGAACGGAAGATTGAAGTCTTCCTGTAATGCATCAGCTGCATTCCCTGCCACTGGCTGGTCATCACCAACTTCACTCAAGGGGTTCCTGGTTCCAAAATCACTACACGCCTCATATGCATCATCATTTTGGTGTTTCGATCCCGACAGAAGCAGATTTCCCTCCACACCTGTAGTTTCTGGTATTATATCCATCTTAGGATCTGTATGAACATGTGGATGATTCCCACCTCCACTTTCTGAAAACGACTGTGTAGGATTCTGAAGTCTTTTGTTAGATGCAACACCAACAGAAACGTCCTCTACCCTGGGATGTACAAGATGTTCGGGGTGAAGAGAAGCTTCCAGGACACTGATGTAATGGTCACTCTCACAGCTGCTATAATGACTGCTACCACTGCTGCTGCTGCCATTACCCTCAGAAGCTGGCTGTTCTGGTATATTCGCCTGAGCCTCTTTCAAACGGTCACACTCCTCCTCATCACCACTTTCCTCCAAAACACAGTGACTGATGACCGTTTTCTCCATGTTTTCCTCTGTGCTCTCGCTGCTGTCCCTGCAGAAAACATAAACGTGATCCGGGGATGTCACGTCGATGCCCTGCTTCTGTAGAACAGTGGCCATGCGCTCTGAATCCAGGAAGTCAGAGTATTCAGACAGGTCAAAAGGCAAGTTCCTGCCGCACTGGCCGTCATCAACAGCAGGCTTCTGTTTGGGGAATTCAGGAGTGAAAACAGGGAAATACTCGTCCACATCTCTGAAGCTAACACTCTTACGGCTCACTCGCCTGGAGGGAAACGCTGGGAGAGTGTCTCTTCTGGAGGGAGAGATTGTGCTATCAGTTGTTGCAGCATGTTCTTTTGCTTTTGATGTGAACCCAACGTCGTAACTCAATACGTCATCCTCTTTAAGGACTTGCAATGCAGCTGCAGGTCCCACTGCAGACATGCGGGTGCTTGAAAGAATAGAGGGACATTCAGATGCCCATTGTGAGGAGGAATTGTTCCAGTCCTGGCTGTGATTCCTCTTGAAGTCTGTTTCAGAAAGTCTGTTGTATGATGGTCCTCTGTAACTCGGCCTCCCATTAATGTGAGACATGTTGAAAAATGATGAGCGCCTGGTGCTGCTCAATGGGGCTTCACCAAAGTCACTTATCATAGAGGAGTGGGAACTGAAGCTGTAGTCTGATTCAGGGTAGCTGGACGTGTCTTTCTGGTCTGAGTACACGGCTGTGAAGAAAACAAGGGACAAAGAAACAGAGAGTCAAAAAATGTCTGAGAAAATGCTGCAACTCATGTGATCTAGTCTTTTTATAATGTCGACAATTTGGGGAATGGCCCTAGGTTCACCTGGTGACAAACATATCCTATATTTAGTTGGCAGAAATACATACAGCAAGTGTTGGTCACACATTTTTTTTGTCATTACTCGCTACATTTTTAAGGCATACCATAAAAGATCAATGCAGGAATTACTCTCCATCTTGACATCTAAGATTATTTTACGATTATTGCCGTTGTTTTTTTTTTTTCAAGAGGGTTAAGGAACTATACGACTGGCATGAGATCAAAATACTATATCCGATATTATCTAGGTACTATGATTTGCTAAACAATATGTCAGACACTTGACTGGCTTAATAAATTAAAAATGGTATAAACTGTCTTCCTACTATTGATCCAGTACATTAGATAAAGCTTATTGGACAAATTAAAGTGGTAGGTTAACTCAAACAAAACAAATTCAGAGAGACTTACAATACTGGAACTGAGGCAGGTCGTCGTCCTCCGTGTCCACTGAGCTGACTGGATACTCCTGAAGAAGCTGGGCACATCTTCTATTCTCCTGCTGCTCTGCAAGCTGCCCTGGTGTATTACCGTCCTGCAATGATTTAAGGAGATAGCAAGGTAAGTATTAAATGAGTAGATATCTTGTTATAGAAACTGTTTGTTTTAAACTTAATTTAAAATTGCAGGATCTTAATGTGTACATATCAATGTATTTTTGATAATGCATTGATTTCCACGATCCAGTTCAGCTGTGTTTGATCTGATCCATGCACTTGATTTATGATTGATAATACAAGTCGTACATTATCTTTGCTGTTTGGGTTCCCTCCATGTATCAAGAGCAGCTTGAGGTTTTGATAACACCCCCACAGCGCAGCAATGTGTAGAGGAGTCAGTCCCTCTGATGACCTGGGAGAAAGAAAGACAAACACACATCTTTCAATCTATCAACATGCTTTTTATGTTGTCTTTTCATAAAGGATGCTTGAAGTCTTCAAAGCGTTACGATCTGCAGTTCAAAGGTCACCATTGCAAAGAAGAGATTTCTATCAAATATAACAAGGTGTTTCAAACTTTACCTGACGTTGGGGTCTCCTCCATACTGCAGCAGCATTTTCAAGCAGCGTATGTTCTTCTCAGTCTCTTTTCCAACAGCCAGGTGTATTGCAGCCACACCTTTACTTCCCACCAGGTGAGGACATGCACCCTCTGACAGAAGCAGCTGCACACATCTGCCGGAAGAATATAAAGAATAAAGAATGTATTGTTTGACTCTACCATATATTGTTGTTTTGCTGTGTTGAAACAAAAAGAAGGACTAATGACTGTAACGTTAGCTCTGCAATTGTCTAGGAGGTTAAAATACATTTTAAGCATTGTGCGATATTCCAGCCAACATTTCACAGACTCAAATATGTGTTATTATTTGCACAAAATTCAATAATTAAGATAAATGTTCTGTTTGTCATAATACACACTATTTATGGACTGATCAATAAACACAAAAATAATAATTAAAAAAAATAGTCTTGTTTTGTTTTTTTCAAACTAACACCCTGTAAAGTAGTTCTCCATGATTGGCCTTACTTTTGTAAAAAAAAAAAAAATTAAAAACATTAAAAAATGATTTGAAAATGATGTTAGGTGCTTTTGTTATTGTAACATAACATGTAATAAAAGCAGAATTTAATAAAAAATAAAAAAAATAAAAAAACACTTCACAACCATGTTATAACACAAGTAAAAGGGTTTTAAATAAGTCATGTGCTCAATGTCTATCCCACTTAGAACATAACACTGTGAAAAGGACAGGCAAGCAGTCACGATAAACTTAAAGAGATGTTTCTAAAAACACAAGGATCATATAAACGCCACACACAAATGGGTCAAAGCTTTGTGGATTTTACAACAACAAAAGCATACACTGTTGAAAGTAACAACTTCAGCAAAGACATCGAGCACACTTCATTTATTGCTTTGGGAAACTCATTTTAGATATTTTACAGAGGGTAAAGAATTACCCTGAAGCAAATGAAAAGTGAAATGCAATGTGTCGCATCTTATCAACATGTCTGGACATAACAAAGAGAAAAGGGGGGGGGGCTGAGCATCACCTTGGTTCTTCATCCTTCACTGCTTTACAAAGTTGACCTTCGAGCCTCCGTGTCTTCCGATCCATGTCCAGTTATTTTATCAACCCACTTTTGTCATTCAGCCAGATTTTTGGAATCAACCCATAGTCGAGACCTGCGCATGAATCCTTGTAACATGAATCAGTAAACGGATGCCAGCTAGCCGAGCTAATAGCGACTAAGACGCTGCCTTTCAGAGCCCAATACGTCTACCTCGTTTATACAAACCACACGACAGTCAATGTGTATTACTCTTAGTTTCCAACGAGCAGTTTTTTAATCTTCACTACCTGCGTTGTTAAGGATCAGCTCGCATGTTATTGAATTTCCCTCCAAACAGACAAACCATCCCCCTCACTTGCTGGCAGACGGAAGTCCCGCCCACGCATGTTTCTGATTAGACAAAGCTTTCATCCCAACCAATCAGCTGAGAACTTGGTAAAAAAGAAAAAAAGAAGGGGCGCAGGATACAGCAAATGGCCTGTAGGCGACAGTCTCATTGATACTCCAGCTTCAGCTTTACTCTTGTTTAGCCCTCACTGTTTTTGTGTTAAGTTAAATCTAGGTGCTCAAAGGTAAGAAGAATGATTCTGACAATTAATTACAAAGACTGACCTCTCTTCACACGTTTCAAAGCACCTATTTCTCACTTCTTTTTAGTCCTGGCATGATGATGTGAAGTCAAGTTCCATTTGTTTTGATCAATCACTCTCTGTTACAGCTTAAGATCCTTAGTATATTATTAGGTTATGCGTAATGTATGGGCTATGTTATATTTATATTATAATATAAATAAATGATCAAATAAAGTAAATAGAAAATGTTATACTTGGCATGTAGGCCTATGCAATGATTGGTGTAAATAGGCCCATTTGTGCTCATAATTATTGTCAAATAATATTATTATTAACCCTCAATAAATGTGTCTTGTGTTTCGTCCATATTCTTTAATAAAATAAAAGAAAACAAAAATAATTATTTTGTCAAAATACATTTTATTCCTACCAAAACACAATACAACAAATCATAGACCCAAAGTGGACATTAAAACCCTTTTCACACATAAACCCTTTTCATACATACGGAAATCTCTTGAAAAACTCTGGAGATTTGGCTACTCAGAGGGGCTTTAGGCTATGTGTGAACGCAAACAGCCGCATTTTTTGCGCAGACTTTACTCTGAATTTGTCCGGCCAGACCCCTAGTATTTTTTCTGCAAAAAGTCAGAGTGAGCTTGATGTCTGAACGTGGTCGCATATACTCCGGATATTTAAATTTGAGCCAATAGGAAGAGAATGACGTTTATATACAGCTGCATTATGTTTTCTTTTCGTCAGTATGTTGTTCTCCTCTCTTTTGTGGATGTTGTCATTCCATTGGATTACACATAGATATAAAGGCAAATATTCTCATTACGTTGTGTAGCGGACTCTGTTGCTTCCGCGTTGTTAGTTTACCTCAGGAAATCCCCCGTCCCCCCTCCCCTCTGACAGGGTAAGTCCCCCGCTGTGAGGAGCATTTGTGAACGGCTAGGTCGGGAGAATCTCTGGAGCGGTCCTCCTGTAATTATCTAGGATTAGATATTATCCGGAGTGCATATGTGAAAACGACTAAAGAGAAAGTGAGGCCCTTTCACTAAGGGGACTTAGATGGAGGAGATGACTCGTAATAATTTTGTAGAAAGAAGAAATGTAAAAAAGTGTAAATGTAAGTTATCATTCATTTACAGTTTTTCCATAAATAAATGAAAAATAAAAAGTAGTGTTATACAAATAATCAATTTTTGTCTAATATTACAAAATCAGTCCTTAATCACAAATATAAAAAAAAAATACAAACACATTTTCATATAAATAAATTTAAGAGAGTGATAAAAATCTTGGCTCCAAAACACTGCTGCTTTTTATAATAAAGAAAGGTCATCTGAACAGGAGAAAATGAATGGCAGTGATTTCAAAGCGACTATACAGCTCTTAATTCTTTACTTGAAGTTCAGCATGAAGAATAAGGAGGAAGAATAATCTTTCATTTTTTTAACCAAAATTGTATATATCACAAGTTATCCCAAGGTCAGGACATTTTCCCCAGAGGCTGTTTTCTCAGACTGAGCAGAGGGAGAGGAGGAGGAGGCCCAGCAGGAGGAGCAGCAGGCTGGGGTGGATGGATGCAGCTTGGTTTGGTGGGGGTAGTTTGCAGTCCTCATAGGGCTCCAGGCAGGCGGCATAAGCCATGACGTGGGCTATGTAGCTCTGCTCCTGGACTCCGTGGAAGAGGTGGGACATAGGACCTTTGGCAAAGATGGCTACGTCCTCTATGCCATGAGTCTCTGAGTCAAGTGGGACAGGAGCCTGCTGACGATAATCATTACCCGCTGAGGAGGAATGAACGAGGGAGTATTAAATCAGTTATTTTAACGATAAAGAAATCATAGACATTTAGTTTGCATAGAGGGCCTGTATATGAGACACCTGGCAAAATGATAGAGTCCAAAACAACTACACAACAAGAAACTCTGTACTGCATCACATTAATGTATTAATCATAAAAGAGCGTCTCTATACCTGCATTATGTTTTAAACAATTATTAATAGCACACAGTTGGTAACTTATAGTTGATTAAAGTGATAGACAGGCTTATCAGTGAATCATTTCAACAGTTCTGAAAAAAATTGGAACAGTTTTGTTTTGTTGTGATGCTTATAATACAATAAAAGTTCACTATTTTTGTCTCTGCAGGATTATATGTCTTTTAAAACATTGGTATTTAATCAAATTAAATGTATCTTATCGGTATAATATCCCCATATCTGCAAAATGCAATAAATGTAGAAAAACAACTTTTGGTAATTACATGCTTAAGGGATCATCTTTAAATCTGTTTAATAAAGAAACAATATAATATGTTAAGCTATTACCTTTTTTTGTATGGGTGACTGGTTGGAGACTCATCCTATTAAACACTCTTTATGTAGATTACAGACTCAGCTGATCTTTGTGTCTCTACAGCAGGTATCCTGTTTCACCACAAGATGGAGCTATACTACTGCAAGGTCTTTTTAAAAGTTCTCTGTGTTCACTTACATGAAACTGTTTCGTTTACATCAGGGCGAGTTCCATTGACAATTGGTATCCTGGTCCGTTTCCATACACAGCCATGGTGAAGTGTTTGTCGTCCTCCGCATTGAGCGAGACACACCTGGAAATCATAGGATAAATAAGTGTCTAATGGTGTTTTTAAACTTAATACACCTGATGGTTTTCAGTTTTTATCATAAAACATCCCTTATCCAACATGTACATTCTGAGTGTGAAATTTACCCAAAACTGAGTTTCCACGTGCAGAACCTCCTCCAAAGGCGAAGACATGGGAGTGGTCTGCGGTGACCACAGACATGGTGTCCAGCTCACTGGTCAGTTCAGCCGCTCGCCCAATGGACCGGTCAAATTCTACTGCCTCATACAGAGCTTTTTTGGCCTTCCCGTCATGGTGAGCGTGGTCAATTCTCCCACTTAAAGTCCAAAAGAACATAACTTTCTAATAAAGATCAATAGCATAGCTTTTCTATAGAATTCAGTATGTTTTAAGTCTTATTTATTTAATATTTAAATGCCACATAGAGGGTTAAGTATTCAAATCTCATTTCAATGTGGACAAAGGCATATAAACTGTGTGTATTTCTAGCCCAAAATCAAACTTTGAAAAAATAACTTGACATTTCTAAGTAGTAATTTTTATTGTAAAACAGACAGTTAAACCGACAATTTCACTTAGATTAAAGAGTTTTGTTCCGTCTGGGAGCTAACTGTAACAAACAATCATACTTATCTTCTACAAAGAGGAAAAAGCCCTTTGGGTTTTTGCTGAGAATTTTAATTGCTTTCTCCACCATCTCTGTCAGGGAGGGGTCCATGGACTGATCACGTTCTAACTCGTAGCGACAGTCTTTGGGCTCAAAGAGACCTAAATGCAGAGAAAAACAGACACATGGCAATTTTAAGATACTCCAAAGGGACTTTGAGTGGAGCTTGCTGTGTATGTGCCATGATGTGATTAGATGTATGCAACTCAAGTTGCAAAATAAAGATTTTAAAATACTTCCGTTATCACTCTCAATCGCAAAGTAGGCCAATAAAAGAGGAGAATGTATTTATTAGAACTCTGATAAGATTAATCTTTTACCCTGTCCGTTTTCAGAAGGACACTTCTGCAAATCATTTATACGCATCTCACTATTCAATCTGGCAATATCTTGTCTTCAAGAAATCTATTATCAAAACTATAACATCTCAGCAACATTAAGGTAGTCCAAAATGTGGAAGAACACTAAAGACAATGTCTGTGTAAAGACAGAATCGGTCAGAATGTCTTATTTTTTTGCTTTGCCTTATATGGGAGGTCCTGTTCATTTACAACATGTTCAGTAAACTAAAGTTCATCTTACCCATCAGGAAGTCTGTAGTTGCAGGGTTTACAGCATCAAAGCCAGCTTTGTTCCAAACATATTCAACATTCTGTAGGAATCAATATAAAAAACACAAAAAATAAAATAAAATAATTAATTCACACTCAACTCAAAGCAGATGTTGAAAACGATCAGATCTAACACTTGCCTTTTTGTTCTTCATCCACTCTGTTACAAGATGTGTTCCGTCATTCCTGACTCCTGTAAAAGATGGATACTCTGGGTCCTGAGTGTTGTTGGGGAACATGTACTGGCGACCTCCACCAAGTATGACCTTGAACCAGACATTAGGGGCTATTGATGCATACTTCATACTCTTTACTTTTTACATATACACTATCTATACTTCACACAGCTTTAAGTGGCAGTAAAAATAGTGACGTCACAGGGTGCTGGTTTAGCTCAGTTGGTTGAGCAGGCGCTCCTTGTCCAGAGGCTCATCCTCACTGCACTCATTGCAGGTTCAACTCCTGATCCTGACTCTATTTGTGTATGCCAAATCCCACTTGCAATTCCTGTATCTCTAAAGCTGGCCTATTAAGTAAAAACATAAAGCTCAAAAGATAATCTTAAAAAACACTTGGTTTAAACTGTGTTAGGTAATGTTACTTATCAGTACAGCAAAAACATTGGGATAAGGTCGCAGTGGTGGGGCCCAGGTATCTTTTTCTTAACTAAATTAAGAATTAACCCAGCTAGTGGCTGCTGTGAATAGTGCAGCTTAAAACTAAGAAAAGTCCATGTGACGGCTTAAAAGACCGTCGACAGGAGAGGATAGAATCCAAGAGCAGGGGCCAAAGATGATTCACAGGCAGATCACATGGTTACAGAACAATGAAGCAGACAAGACTATGCATTGGACGAGCGATTCAGTGAAAGACAGGGGCATGGATCGATCCTCCAGAACCAGAGTTATGCAGAACTGAGCACTATGAACTAATTAAAATGGAGGACAGGGATGGAAACTCCAGATTTCTTTCATCATGGCTGGCAGAAAGTGACGTCATCCAAAGGCCTGGGAGGAGGAGAACAGTGGGCAAACTTGGACTTGATAATGCTGTTAGACAGGCTTGAATGGCGATAAATAAATTGGAGATTGAATGAAATGCCTTTTCCCGTGGACCACGCTTTTGAAAGGTCAGCCCTGCAGGTTGGAATATTAGTTTGGTGGTTAGCACTGATACCTCTGAATCAAGAACGCACACCGTCTTCACCCTCAACAACCAAGAGGAAAGACGGCCTCTGTCACAAGTTGCGCTGATCTTGCAGGATAGTGGCAGATAATGAGGACAGTTTCCTCACTGAGTGCTTAACCATTTCATTAGGGCGCGAGTATCTTGAATTCATTTTGAAATACATGTGTGTTAAACTCTTGTTTGGGATTTAAATTTTTGCACATTGCATCTCAGTTCAACCATCATGTTGGCTAGTAATGATCAAATCATTTAGACAAATTTTGCCTTCAAATTCTTACTAGGTATTTTTTTTTTCAATATCTCATTAGGGATTCTCTGTCATCCCAGCTTTAAAAAAACAAAGGACAGACTTACATTTATCTCTGTGTTATGAACCAGCTGGTAAGCAATGTCCCGGCAGCCATTTTTGACAGCCTCTGGGGTGAGGTCAGAGTCAGCGTACCAGTTGCGGTTTGCAGTGTGAGCGTAGGCCGCACCAGGAGACGCATGCTGCACTCGAGTTGTCGTGACAATTCCCACAGATTTCCCTAAAAATCAGACAGAGACATAACATTGCATTATTTGTTACTGTCCATATTGTAAAGATTAAATGTAATCTATACGTCTATATCTAACTTATTTTAACGTTTTTGGAGCACATATGCATAGACTTGCCTGCTTGTTTGGCGCGGTGCAGAATGGATGTGACTTCGTTCCCTTTGGTAGCACTACAGTTGTACCTTGGGGTGGAGGCACTGACACCCAGGGTGCCATAGTTGGCTTTAACACCACATAAGTATGCGGTTGCTGTGCCAGCACTGTCTGGCATCTGCTGGTCCACATTGTACGTCTGCAGGGGGATATAATCATGATACATAATCACACACTCATCGTTTGATGCATTTTTCAGGTTTTCATTCTCATTCATGCCAAGACTTTGAGTAGAATAGATAATATTCATGGATGGGTTCTATTTTTAATTTTTTTTGCTCAACATGGATGGTATTAGAGTGTGTGGTATCTCCATTCACTCAGTGTAAGTGTCTGTCACCTTGGAAAGGGCTACATTAGGGAAAGTATCCATAACCAGACTGCTCTCCTCCCCTGACTTTCCTGCCAACTGTCCTTTGAGGATCCGTGCAGCAGTCACAGTCGGTATCCCCATACCTGTGAGCAGGTGGAAACACACCTGAGTGTTAGGTCATGTCAGTCAGCCTAGCACAAAGCCATCATTGTGCTCTCATAAGGATCAGCTGTTGTGAGAGTTTAAAGGGTGGTGAATGACATCAGAGTTATTTACGGCCACAGGTGGTGGACAGTTTACATCGAACATTCATAAATACTGTATGTCACATTTTTTGGTTCAAACTTGATATTTAAAAATATATATATATTTCATTTAAAGTCCATCGCACCATGGCACAAAAACCTCATCAGCTTTGTTATGTCATTGGGAATTTCTGATCCTAAACTGCAAATGATGTATTCCTTCTGATATGTTTGGTGCTATAAATCTTTTAAAGAAATGATCAAATTGATAACAGGCTTTGTAATTAATAAATAATTAAAACTATTGCATTGCAGGTAGATATACTGCATAACCTTGTTTCTAGTGGGTTACATCTAGCTTCAACATTAACATTAACATTTTTTCTCTGGGGGGCGCTGGTAGCCTAGTGGATAGTTCGTGAACCCCATGTACGGTTGCAATAGTCCTCCAATACGCAATAGGTTCGTATCCCACCTGTTGCTCCTTTCCCACATGTCATCCCCCACTCTCCCCCTATTTCTGACTCTATCCACTGTCCTGTCTCTAAAATAAAGGAATACCCCCCCCCCCCCTTGTTCCTCATCTCTTCACATTAAGAGTGATGGAAAGAACTGCACTTAAAGCTTTACAAGCTTTTGAAACAATGAAGGGAAGGACAGCTCATCAATGTATTAATCGTTTGGACATGCCTCAGTGGACACAACTGTGTGTGTGTGTGTGTGTGTTTCTTTGTAGAAGACCTGTGTATGACACAGAGTGATAAATTGTTAGTAATTAATTAATATAATATCTTCAATGTGCCGCTATCAGCATGAAGGTCTGTTTGAGTAAAGGCTACAGCCCACTTTACCCATAAATTTATTTTATCAAGCGGAGGTGCCAAATACGGATCTTGAAACAAAGTAAACACAAGATATGGAGGATTAGTGACAACTTTATCTTTGAGAGGGGTCAAGGTGCGGTGAGGGGTCAAGGCAAAAAAACTGATGATGAAAAAATGTGCCTACCTTTGTTCCTATTTATGGGAAACAAGTGGCAACCTCCAGTGCTGACAAATGAAGCCAATGAGGAAGAGCAAAAAATGCATTTCCCAGAGTGTCCACTTTAGGCTGGCTCCAAAAGCCAAAAGACATCCCATTAGGTCCCATAATAATATTTTACAGCAGTAATAATCATCTTTAGAAGTTAGTTTGTGTCAGATTTTCTACCACACAGCATTATAACAAAAACAATCCTTTACCTGAGTACAATAGTCAGCTTACCATCTTTACAGATTTTAAAGTTTTGGGGAGTTGAAACTTGAAACTAATTTGATTGTCCAAAAGTGTCTAACACTTTATCAAAGAGCTCAATAAGTTCTCGATGAGTTTCTGTGTTTCATCTTCTTTGGTATTCCTTTAAAGAAGCATGTGGAAATAGCTGCATGCAGAGTGAACTGCGGTTTAGCCCTAGTTCGGTTTGTTATACTTGGCTTTCCAAGCAGTAGTAACTGCTGGTGATCACATGTGAACATTCATCTCCCACTACCCACAACCCGCAGCTTTTTGGGGTCACATAGTGCATTTTCCTTCTCTGTTGGTGAACTACTCCCCAAGAAACTGTTAGGATCCCATAGTGCTTCTTTTCACCTGATCAAACAAGCTGAAATAAATGAGACAAATGCTCCATATTTAAAAGACTTTGATCTGTGGGAAAGCTTCCCTCTCAGACTCACCGTCCCCCAGGAATAGGATGAGGTTCTTGGCTTGGTGCAAATTACGCTGAGCGCTCAGGGCACTGTGAAGAGCCTCTCTCCCTTGATGGTTCCAGTAGCTGGCATGGAGCTCTTCATCTACCAGTAATACAAATACAGTGTCATATATTAATAGAAGTGACATAACACACTTCATCAAGTGATGCTTTTATTTTCTTTGATTCGCAAGAAAGCTGTTTAAAAATGTCTTCTTACATAAGTTCCTTTTTCAAAATTAGCCATAAAATAAGCTGATGATGCAATTTCCCCATTAGTGGAAAGTCACAAGATACCATCATTATTCATATATAAGAACAACCAAAAGGTTGATAATGTGAACTTGTACTGTTAGTTTTTATGGTTATATATAAATGAAGCAAATGACTATCTTTTATAAACCAATTGGGATTCAGATATATAAGTATATTTCGTACAATTTGAAGATTAACCGACAATTTCAAGGAAGCAACCCTGGCCTGTAACAAAGGTTTTTTGTCTTTCTGTCTTTAATTAAAAGTGATTTGATCGGGTTGCTAAAGTATGGCATGCCTTTTCCTTATCCTTGAAATCCAGTTGTGTAAGTGTAGTGTGACAGCGGATACAAAACTTTTGTCCAACAGCAACAACATGTAATATATTCTTACCTGAGAAAGAAAGAGTCAAATGCACTGACATGAAAAGAAGTAATCCAGTAGAAATAATCTTATGTCTGCTTGCCATGGCGCTGAATATGGAAATTAAAAATATGAAATTAAACCCCCTCAGTACAGGCGTGTGTATCCACACAGTGAGGTCTCTTTTTATAACTACAGCGAAGGAGCAAAGGGCACATGAAATAACCTTTCAACATGAGTCACAGGTTACAATACATGCACCCAGTTTAAAATCAGATTGTAAATAGTTTCAAGCAAAAGGTGCAGGAAACCAAACAGCTTTCTTGCATTCTCAGTTTAAATTCCAGTTTACTGTAGAGTATGAAGTACAATGGTAAGTAAGAAATCCACAGTTTGTGGAATGTCTTAGTGCCCCATGCACACTGTCCAGCATATTAAGACTGAGCATCCAGAATAATAATCCAGAACAGATAAAATGGTAGATTTATTTTTATTTTTACGTAAAAGGAGGAACAGGACTTGCTTCTATAGAAAAACGTTGAAAAACATTTGGCTTTTTTTTTAGCAAAATACTGAATGTGCTCCCTGAGGAGCAAGTTGTCATCAGGTAAAAACCCAGAGATTTCTTAACCTTCTTCCCTGGCAAAGCTGATATTGTACTAAATCACAACAACAAAACAGTAAATAATAGCTTCATTAGCATAGAACAGTAAAAGCAGATTTTGTCATATTCTGTTCAAGGCAATTCTTATACTGTAGATAGTCACTAAAAGTGGGCCCAGAACAAAACCTTGAGGTACCCCCATGTGGATTTGTAGAACACCTGAGGCAGCACCTTCTAACTTTAAACCCTGGGTTCTATCAGTAAGGTAATTGACAAAGCACCCAACTGATTGCTCTGAACACTCAGTAGCTTTAAACTAATCTAGTAAGATGTTGTATTATTATCACACTTTCTTACTCTAAAAAAAAAAAAAAAAACACATAAATGAATCACCCAATAAATTTATTTAATTTAATCTGATTTAATTCATCCTTAGTCTGTATTTGTTAATGTAGTGTTTCTTTCTTCAGCTGAGGTGCAAAGACAGCTGAAATATATCTGCTGAATGTTTACCAGGAACAGCTGCAGTCAGTATTGTTTCAGCCACCACAAAGCATTTAATGGTGGTTATGATTACTCTGTTTTATGATGTCATGTATACATCATTATGTTGTTATCTAACTTTATGAAACAGTTTTCTAACAGAGCAGCCATTTATTTGATTTGAGTTTAATGTGGTATTTATTGATGACATATGTGTCTGTGTCTGTACAGGTAGATCAAGCTGTACATCCATGTGGATTTTTCAGCAGTGAAGTTTTAAACTCACTGACACAGACCAACACAAGGTCATGGTGTAATGTCAGAATCAGTGTCTGAACTTTTTACAGAGAAAGCTTTTGAAAAAGTCAGCAAGGCCTCTGAAAAAGACACCAATAAAAGGATTACACAAATCCAAAACAAAATATGTTAGGATATGACAGAGCAGGGATCTAGATTTTCACAGATTCTGATGCAATGATAAACGGAGGGGATTTAAAGGTCATGTGGTAGGTCAATGTCTTTGAATTCCCATTAACTTAAGGTGTTATTTCAGATGTTACTCCTCCAGGAGATTGTAACAAATGTCAGTCCTTTATGAAACTGTGTTATTGAAATCTTATAAAGTGAATGAGTAGAAGTAAACATGCTTTTTATCAATCTTGTTTTGTTTCTGACTTATTCTGTTGATGCCCTGATTACCTGATTGTTATTACAAATGTTTGTAGCAATATTCCACATTTTCAGGCTATGTATTTGGATTTTGGAAATATCCAATGATTTGGAACATCTTTCATGTGTGCTTGCATGAAATAAACTAAAGTTTAACTCCAACCAATCCATTAAAATTGTGTGATTCCTTTGAATCAAAGCTTTTATATTAACGCCAGTATTTATTGCATATATTTTCTTTAAAAATCCCCAGGCTTTTTCAGACATTTGCCCTCCTCTAAGGTTCCCCCAAAAAGAATGGCCTAAAAAGAAAAGGTGTAATTTTTATCCTTATCATTTGCAAAAACACAATATAAAAATACATTTATAAAATGTGCTTCTAAAATACATTCATGTACAATCCATATAGATTACAGAGAATATATTTAGTATTCAAGACCAAAAGAAGGTTAACATACAAACTTAATAGTAGCAATGACAAGAACATTTTTGCACTCCTGAAATAGGCACAGTACATTTTACAATTCCCTGTATGGTCTGTTGGTGTCTCAGCTTATGGCATGCTCCTGTTGCTTTTTCCATCATACAGTCATTTATTAAGTTGCCACTATGTACGTTAACAGCTGAATGTCCTGTCTGAGCTCACACAAGCTAAACAGGGAGCCCACAACCAACCTGCTTGTTTTCAAGTTATTCTGGATAAAGCCTCAGACTAATGTTTGATGAGTAAATAACAGCCCTTTGCAAAGATGGCTCTGAGTGAACCAAGCACGCGCACAACTTTAACTTAGAATGAAAAGATGAACATTAATCTAACTAACTAATAAAATAAGTTAATGCAAGTTTCTTGTCATGTTGCATGTTTGTAAAAATCATTCCAAATGCCGCTGGCTGCATAAAGATGCATTTGCACGCAATTTATTTTTAAAGGCCTGTGTGTGTGTGTGTGTGTGTGTGTGTTCATGTTTGCATATTTGCATGTGTTCCAGCTTGCAGTACTGGCCTGTTTGCTAATTTGCATTTGGGAGCTTCTGCAAGCAACTTTTAGCCTTAATCTCACATGCATTCTAGGTTTAAAGCTCATGAAAAAGTACACTGTGTGATCAGGATGAATGTATGTATCTGCTAGACAAAGTGTTGTAAATGTTATTCCCTGCATTAGGTGTGTCTTCACCTTCAAATGGTTGTGTTGCTGCGTGCATAAAATGTATTTATGTAAGGTGTGTTTTATATGCTTTGTTTTGGGGGGTGGGGGTCATCTGAGGAACCAGAGGAGTCCAAGCAGGCCAAACAAGAGGCTTGAGGATGTGTTCAGAGACCCATTCGAGGTGTGGCTGTGGGGGTGAGGAGGGCAGTTCGTGTAGGGTTCTAAGCAGGCGGCATACGCCATGACATGTGCCACATAGTTCTGCTCTTTCACCCCATGGAATAGATGAGCCATGGGGCCTTTGGCGTAGATTGCCACGTCCTCCCCGCCGTGTGTCTCAGCATCCAGCGGGACAGCAGCCTGTTGCATGTACTCCTCATCGTCTGCAGAGAAATGAGTACAGACACATGTGTCAAACAAAAGAGTTAAAGGAAACTCTTTGCCTGTATCTTCAACTTTTAATGTAAAATTAGCTTTAAAGACAATCCCAAATAAATCACTAAATTATGAAAATCACAAGTCTTATTCTTCCTCCAAATCTGAATATCCTGCCGTATCCATCTTGAAATCACGCGTCTGTAATGACTCATTTTACAGTTCTTTAGATTACACTGGATTACCTTTGTTTTGGTTACAATATCACCCACAACAGAGAGACTCTGAGGATACCCTCAATAAAGATAACATTACCCTCATGGTTGTTGTTGTGGCTTTTTGTGTTTTGCAAATGTTCTGTAATTTACTTAATTAAACTTGATTACAACATTTCAAAACCTAATTGAGCTCTTTTTTGATTAAATAACAGTATTTGACTGCTTGACTTTTCTTAAGTGAAGTGTGCTGACTGATTACATAACTATTATCCTCCCTCAAAACAAGCATACAGTCCTGGAAAACAAGAAGATTGCAGACTTCGCTGTGCTCCGGATTATGTCTTTGTATTTTTGTGGATTTATTGTTGCAAAAATCAGTTGCAGGCCTTTATTCTCTTTGGCTCCAGATGGGTTCCTAAAGTCTTAGAAATGAATGCGTCACTTGAAATTGCATGTTTACTGAAGGTGACAGCTGACTTGTGTGGAGACACAACCACTGGTTCCAAAAACATTAAGTGACGCCAGTTCACTCAAAAAGAAAAAAAAAATGGGGTATTTAAAAGGTAACTCATCCCTGGAGATAGATATTTCCACCTTTAAGTATATACAGTCATGCAATGACTGAAGTGAATGGTGCAGAACAAGCGGAGGAGGAACTGGATAACTGCTGTTAATTGTTCCACAAAGAAATGGAAATAGCTCTTTTAAGGATAGTTACACGTACACAGCAAAGACAGCACAATGTATTCCATAAACATCATTTTTCATCTTTGCTTTCAAGAGAAAAACACAGGCATGAGTCAGCCATAACCACATCAGTTCACACTGTCTGAACACACATCAGCAGAGACAAGCGCCACATCTGAAAGACATTAGTTTGTTCTTACAGTAATCCACCATTGTGATGTTCCCTCTGGTTCCATTTATATGCACATAGCCGGGACCGTTTGCATAAAGGATGCTGGTGAAAGGCATTTTGTCATCAGCTTTCTTTGGTGCCAGACCTGTATGACAAATAATGAAGTAGAAGGTGAGTAATAGGACATTGGTGGCAGTATAACATCAAATGCATTTTGACTCACTTCAACAAATGGGAAATGGGAAGCTTTTCACATGCAAGCTGCATCAAATATTATGTACTATCCATTTAAGAAGTTCTATGGGCTAGATCTACAATTTGCAACACATTCATTATGTTTCAGTTCAGTGTGAATACAATATTTGTGCCTTTAACTTTACCAAAGATGGGATTCCCTCTCGGTGTGTTACCACCAAAAGTAAAGACGTGGGAGTGGTCTGCAGTCACCACAGTAAGAGTATCCGACTCTCTGGTCAGTTGTGCAGCACGCTCAATGGCTCGGTCGAACATCACAGCTTCTGTCAGGGCCAGTTTAGCAATGCCGTCATGGTGGCCGTGATCAATTCTCCCTCGTAACAGAAAAACAAACAACAAACAAGCTAATTAAACCTGGACCAAGTACCGCTCCCAGAGAATCCCTTTAGCAGAAGAGAGATTCATTTTCCATGGTGTCTTTGCCTTACAGCCAAAAAGAGGTGTTCTGTCTTAAAACATATCTTTAAAATAAAGACTTTGCTTCAAATCAACAAGTAAAACCATGTATTCATGTTTTCAGGAATGTTTTCTCTAACTCTACATCAGGATATAAATCGGATTATTGGGGGTCACAAAAGACATACCAGGGTTGAAATAAATTGAATGGATATCATTTGTCGTGATGCTTCTTATGGCATGCTGTAAAGAAATAATACATCACAGGATTCTTCTACTCATCTTCCACAAACAGGAAATATCCTTTGGGATTCTTGCTGAGGATTCGTATGGCCTTCTCCGTCATCTCCACTATGGAGGGGTCACGTGTGCCGTTCCGGAAAACCTCGAATCTCATGTCCTTTGGCTCAAAAAGACCTGGAACCATCAGTAATAAGAAATACTTGTTTAAAGAGGTCGTAGCACTAGCACCGTACGTAAATAGTGATAGCATTATGGTATGTCATATCAGGAGAGCTTAAGAACAGAAAGCTGAGGCAGTGATATCATGTATTTGGACAATTGCATTACTACATAGACTGACTGAGTTGTATAATAAACCTTTCTAATATTCCATTGTCAAAATCCAGGTTTTCTCTAAGGTGATAAATGAAATATTTCACCAATTACAAGAATATGCATTTACTGTTTATATTTCGAGAAGTTAATAACAGTGATTATTCTTTTTCAACATGTTCCACTGGCTCATGTTTCTGGTTGATCAGAAACATGCTTCATCATACCTACAATGATTTTAATACGATTTCATTACTCTAATTTGAATAACATGTTCTGTTTTCTGCAGCAACAACAAAATGTTATTTTTTTTACAATTTTTAGTAGAGATTTCAGACGAAACATATCAATTTGTGAACCCTGTATTAAGGAAATACAGATGTTCCAAACTAAAAAAGTTCTAAATCTGCTTAGCTGTTATTGAAATCTTCACAGGCAGCAATCACCTTTTGGTTTTCATCACTGCAGTTTATGGAGATAATACCAGTTAGCTTTAAGCTTCTTCATGACTACTTCATACGCCTGTAAATATAGACGCTGAACTTACTGGAATGCTCCTGTTTCATAGGGAAAGTTTCATCACTTTGATAAGAGGTTTATCTTTTGGTCTGTTATCTTTATGTGAGCTAAATATGTTTATCATTGTGTGTTCATATTTATTGTGTGAAACTGTCTTGCGTGCGTGTGTGTGTGTGTGTGTGCGTGTGCGTGTGTGTGCGTGTGTGTGTGTGTGTGTTTGTGTGTGCGCATTTGTGTGTGCTATCAGCTTGGTGTTTTATAAACTTCACTAGTCTGATTATCAGTTCAACCTGAAAGCTGTTAACACTTCTATACACACCCATGAGCCGGTCAGTAGTCTTAACATTTATCTCTTCAAACTCCCTCCTGTGCCAAACATAGTGAGACTTCTTTTTCTGGAAAACAAACCGGAAAACACACAAATATGTGAACTAATGTTAAAATGTAAGCTAATATTGACCAGGTGTGTAAATTAATCCTACTGGTTTAGCCTTCAGCCAAACGTCAATGAGGTTCCTCTTGTCCCTGCGGTCCCCCTTTCGAGAGTTGGAGGTAGGGTACTCTGGGTCTGGGGTGCCTTTAGGTGTCATGTACATCCTCCCTCCACCTAAAATCACCTGAAAGGAACACCAGAGACACTCATTATGAATAGAATCAGCCCAAAATGGTCAACCTACTTAATAATTATACATCCCTTATATTAGAGCATTGTGGCTTCCACTGCTTATTTTCTAACCTAAGAAGTTATTAACTCCTTTCACCTTCCATCATGTTAAAAACTCTTTGCTAATATGGACAAACTTTAAACCAGTAAGGCTTTGTGAATCATAAGGGTCAAGTTGAAAAGTATAGAAGGCTTAAATAGGTTTTAAAATGCAAATTATCTGTGTAAGTTAGCGAGTGTTGTTGGTGATAAATAGGTGGTCTATCCAAAACCTCAATCCATTCAGACATCCAATGTGCACAATGACTCAAAGTCACTTTACAAAGAAAAGGTGTCATGATCATATACGTGGTTTAATTACGAGCAATATACAGGTAAAATGCCTCTAATCTAAAAGATTATCACAGAGCATAAAATGATTGCAGATAAGCCTTAGACTGGGCGTTGCTTTAAGTGTGCAGGAGGCCACATGATTTTATACCCTGCCCTTAATCAGATAATCAAATACCTTTTTTTAAGAAATCTGCAACAGTGATTTGTTCTTATACGTACATCAATGTCAACGTTGGTAACTAGTTGTGTTGCGATGTCGACACAGCCCTGTCTGCGTGCACTGGAGGGAAGATCTGCATCACTGTACCAGCTGCGGCTAACAGAGTGGGCGTAAGCGGCGGCCGGGGAGGCATGCTGGACACGTGTGGTGGTTACCACGCCAACTGATTTACCTAAACGATGCAGAGACACAGCCACATCAGAGGTTAAGCTGTTAGGGCAATAGCACACTTTAAACATTTTCTATGATACTGGTTTAAAAGTAACAACAGACAAATGACAATGTGTCCTTTAATGAGCACAGAAGGTAAAACTTTTAAATTTTTTCTTATGTTATGCTGCTTAGTCTTTCTTGACAAAGTAATGGCGCCTCATAGCTAGAGATGTAGAGGGTGAATGGTTCCACTAAAGCCTGAAAAAGAGCCAACCTAAAGCTTATCACCATGGAAATACATTTATTTATATATGCTTTGTATAAATTTAAACTTTTTTGGCAAGATTTCTATATTTTCCAGCATGGTTGCCAGTAATTCCTTTAAAAATCCAATTATTTCTTTATTCATTTTGCCCAGTATGACATACTGTATATCTTATTTTAGACACTGACAGCCACAAGAACAAAAGTGAACGCTGGTCAGTGAGAAATTCTAAACATTGAACTATAAATCTTGACACTGGTGTACGATTTATCAGATGATTGTTTTATTCCTCGTATATGGTCATTTGACTTCTTGAGATAAGAATTCAAACCAGCTGAACTTTCCATTACACATCACACTCAGACCTTAAAGTCATCTAAGATAAGATAAGATAAGATAATCCTTTATTTATCCCACAATGGGGAAATTTACATTGTTAGATGTACATCTAGTGTCCTCACCTTGTGCCTTAGCACGTCGTAGCACTGAGTACACCTCATTACCGAAGGTGGTGTTACACTCGTAGGCCACTGCATTAGCACTTAGCCCAACTGTCTTAGAGTTAGCCTTCACACCACAGTGATAGGCTGTAGCCGTGCTAGCACTGTCTGCTACCTGCTTATCCACACTGTATGTCTGTTGACCAAAAAAGACAAACACAATTAAAAAAAGGAAATAAACATGCATCCAAACATATATTTAATATCTATATTTTAGAACACAGAGATCTAAAGAAATACTAACCCTTAACTTACACTTAGACTAAAACCGCAACAATTGAGGGATTATAATCCCCCGCAAAGCCTAATTCATCTTTAAACTGACATTAAATCGGTTTTCATTGCCTCTACTAAAATGTGAGCATCCTTCAAAATCTTTTCACACAATGGCTTCAGTTGTTTAGGAGGAGTGGGCGGGTATGGGGCAAGAAGTAACATGATAAGGAAACAAATCATGTAAAACTGGACACACTAAACTAAACTTCTTTATATCTGTCTGTCTGTCTGTCTGTTCAGGTCAGGGTGTGCAGGCATAATAACAAATGTTGCCATGTTTTTAACAATTCTTCACTGAAAAGTCTTAATGTACTGCTTGCCATCTTAACTGGCCTTTCCGCATGAGAATAATCTGTTGAAGTTTAGTGTACTGGTATTTACTGTATGATGGATATAAATAATAAACACCTATGTGCTCTTCCAATTTGGAAATGTTCTTGAAGTGGATACTTTGACAAGTTGTATATATACTACATGACGGATAAGTTTAATCTCCACTGTGTTCTGCAGTCACCTTTGACAGTGCCAAATATGGGAAGGTGTCCATGGCCAGCATGGTCTCCTCGCCGGACCTGCCCTCCATCTGACCTCTCAGAATTCGAGCTGCAGAAACTGTAGACACGCCCATCCCTGGAAGACAATGATTGACTGGTAAAGGTTCACCGAAACAACCTCTCAAAATACTTTCAGCTACTTTTGCTTTGGCTGTCAAATGACATAATGAATGGCATTAACATTGGGCTCTAGCTGTCATTGCTTGTGTATTATCAACACAGTTCTCACTTTCACAAATAGCACCCACATTGTGTAAGGTGCATCTGGCTTTTAAAGAGAATGGGATTATGAAACTTTGATTGAATGCTTCTCAAAAAATGGATGATAATTAATACAATCCCTTGTACACATCCTTAATTCACTTAGGCCAAGCGAGCGCTTTAGACCAGCCTGATAGATGTTTCAATTAGGCCCAATAAATTAGAACTCTATTTAGAAGTATTCACATCATGGGAATGTTTTGCTGTACTATCATCTCCAAGCCAGTAATATATCCTCTGTTGAGTTGGGAACATGTTAAAAAGCTTGCCCAGAAATATTAAAAAGCTTGTTTGAAAGTTCTGACTCTTGGTGTCACATCGAGGGAACACAAATGATTTAGTAAGACTCAAAGTAAGCTAAGTCAAGGTCATAAAAATCAACCTAATTACCAATTGGGCAGGCCATTTAGATCATGTTTTTTGTTCTTCAAAAGAAATAATTGAACAGAACAACAATGACTTCCCTGGGCAAGTATTCAGACTGTTACTGGAATAGCACATTAAATACACAGATATGCCATGTGTCTATTTATGATATGTTACATCAAACAGTATAACCCTTTGATCACTTCCATTAGTCAGTATTGGATTTCATCCCTAACTTTCAGAACCATTCTTTATAAAGTCATGTCACTGTGAGGCACTCAACTCTCTTCACAGTCATAAAACTGAGCACATGCATTGGGCAGGGCATTACTGGAGAGATGCTCAAAGAAAACTCAGCCCCGACCACCCAGAATTATAACCCAGTACGCCTGATTTAAAGCAGATATTCTGGTAGTTAACAAGGAAAACACTGTAAATCTCTATAACAAGTCCCCATACAAAAATGACTCTGCTGGTAAGGCAGCAGTAAGTATACCCCATACATTACAATTAATATGAAAGTTTTTTTCAAATACAATCCAATCCAGATTGAAGTCTACCCATTTCGAAATAGTCGACCCTTTAGTAGACAGTACAGTCACTATAACACCACAATACTCTGCCTGAGAATGAAGCATGTAGTGTAGCATTTCAAGAGTATATGAAAGCCAGCCCTTAAACATGTAAGGCAAACAAATATGGTGATTTGCCAACAAAAGAAGTGAAGAAGAAGTGTGCTATAAAGAAAATGTGCAGTGCAACACTGAATCAAAACAGTTTCCTTGTTTGGAGGGAAAATCCACACCTTAAATAATCAACCAACTCCTGAGCTTTAAAATAGAAAACTTCTGAATAGAAGTTTTTATTCAATTTGTACTAAGTCCTACAAAATGAGTGCATGTCAGACACTAAGTGTGATGCAGCACTTCGTTCCTTTCCAGTTGTATTCCCTGCTCCCTAAAATTTTTTAACTCTCTTTGTCGCTCTTTTGAGGCCTCAACCAAGACTTGAGATGAATATCTTGCATTTCAGCAGCAACCAAAAGAGACAAAACTGCCACTAAGGGGTAGGGTTGGGTAAGTGGCATTTGATAATCTGTTTGATCCTTTCTTAACACAAAATATTGCGGTTTAGGCGACAAAAGGGACCTCTAATCTGATAAAAATCATCTTTATAATTAAAGGATAACCCGCATTTGCTGCTTGTACAAGAAAATATATGAACTTCCTTTGTTAAAGATGCATGTCTGACTTTTTAGCCTTTTCTGATCAGTCATCACACAGACAATCCCCGGATTTCCTTTTCAAGACCATCAAAAACAAAATGCATTTTAATTGTACTAATGACTAAGGCTCTCCTAGTTTTACTCAGATTTCTGGCTCCTCAGATCCAGTGAATCAAGACAAATGCCGAGCTACCACTTACACACAGTCTGACTTTCCAAGCCTGTTTCCTAAATCCATTTTGAGCACAGCCAACACTCTGTAACCGAACACACTTGAGCATTGTTTTGCAATATATGATTAGCTCTATTTGTCTGTAGTTTTTCCGTCTCAAATTTCAACCACAACCTAGTAAGCAGTGAATGTAAACTTTGACAGATTCCCGTCTGCCAGCGTGACCTACCATCACCGAGAAACAGAATGATGTTCTTGGCCTGGTGATCTCGGGGGCGGAGTTTCAGCGCAGCATCCAGTGTTGCCTTGGCCTGAGCGTCCCAATAGGCTGGTTCCTTCTCTAGGTCATACAGCTCTAAATGGAAATACAAAAAAGTAGAGAATAAGATGAGTATGCTAGAAGGATGGAGATGAGCAGAACTTGTAAATTTCAAAGGTATACAAATCAAATATATGTTCAGTTAAAATACTTAGTGCTGGTGCATGTGTGGAAATGTAAGGGCCACTTCAGTCAAGTGAGTCTGTAGGGGCCTGAGACCTTAAATCATTTGGACTTGGGCTAGAACAGAAAAATGGTTCCACAAGAGGTGTCGAAATGACACCAAAAAAAAAAAAAAAAAAAAGCAAAAAACACGAAAGACACTTTGGTTTTTGTCTGTTCTTGCTCACTGACTCCAGGCTCCAAGGGAAGGAATTAAAGAAGGGAAATTCCTCAGGCCGCATAACTAAAAACAACGGAAAGACAAACAGTCCATCCCACATTTTGCACAAACAGGTAGACCCAGGTAAAAATATCCTTGTTCATGCTTTTGTGTATCTACAGACTTGCTGTTACACCTACACAGCTGCACGTATCCATATTTCAGTGCTCACAACACTCACCCTTTCAGCAGGTTGAGGTTACCTGTTTGTGCTGTCCATTTGTCTGACCACAAAGTGCCTCTTATATCCCAACAGCAGGCAGCAATAATAGCTATGCCGTCTCCTCACCTTGGCTTTCCATTGCAGCCTGGCCAACAGCCAACAGTAAGGGGCCCAGAAGGATGAGCAGGAGATTCGGGGCCCCAGAGTTTGGCATCTGCATCTCTTATCCGAGGAGTGACCAGGAGGCTGAAGAGGTAGACACAGCTGGCTTTCAGAGTAAGCGCATCAAAACCAAAAAGCCGAGGCACAGGCGCACAGGAGTGTGTGTGGCTGTCGAGACCTCCGGCCCTGCCTTTTTAAAGCCCCACTGGGTGTGTAGTGAGAAAGGGCCAACGCCAGCTCATAGGCTTAGAGCCACAAAGGAGGGAAGAGAGAATGTGAGAGAAAAAGGAAGAGCCAGGGGAGAGAGAGAGTGAGGGAGAGAGAAAGAGACAGAGGCGCTGGGACCACACAAGAGCACTGTAGCATTCGCAGCCCCTCTACTCACTTTGATTCCTGAAAAGGCAACTCCCCCGTTTTATTGTTTTAAAAAGTTGCTTTAATTTAGATCTTCCTCTTTTTTCTGACTCCCTCATTCCGAAGTGTGCCTGATAGAAATGTGAATGGTTCTTTGATGTGGTAATTGTATAATTGGTCTTTTGATGCAGCAGTCTCTCTTACAGGGAGAGGGAAAAAAAGGATACCCAATTTCTGTTGGAATCCATCAAGGTCCAAATTATAACTGTGTCTCTTTCCATTTCTTCCCCCGATCTCCTGGAAAAACAGTCCAAGGGAGAGAAAGAATGATGTCCAACCTATTCTTGTAAATATCATGATTGAGTCTTGATGTTCTCTGCTTTTCATGACAAGAAAACGGTCACATTTCCATTTCCCCTCCACTGCATTTATGCATTTAAAAAGACCCCAATATTTTTCCTTCTTTACCAAGTCAACTTGGCTAGTTTCTCTGTGGGAAGTGAACTGGGGTTAGCATTTTTCTTCTGTGAGGTAGTGGAGACCGCCTGCAGAATAAAAATGTCTCCTACACAAACACAACACTTAATGTGTGAAATGAAGTGAGTCGAGGCCAACTTTGTTCCACCCCGGCCAGAAGAATCAAATTCCCGTCGAACGGCTCACGCCTCGTGAACCCGCGAGGCTGAATCTAGTTACAAGTCAGAGCTCTGGAAGACTTCATTCTGCCAACCGCTCACCCGTTGCCAACAGGGGTATGCAGTTAGTCACATGTGCTTAATCAAGACTGTAATAAAATCATAGCAGCAATCTAAAGTAAAGAGGCCTCACGTGATGTGGCCCACACCACATGAACTGGAAATACCAGCGGTGAGGTGCAAGAGTAAGGAAAACTTGTAGATACAAGTCTGTCTGTCCATTTGTTATGGGTTTGCCCCTGAGAGAAAGTCGAGCTAATGCTGGGAAAGCCAAATTAGTTTCCTGCACAAGACAAGTGTAAACACCTGGTGGCTGTTTTCAGTCTCGGCATGGATCATCCATCCACCTCAAGGTGCTTAGTACCTTTTGTTTTGCAAATTATATGGCAAGCTTAAATGCTTGTGGGAATGCAGTGAACTCCTGGGAATTAGAGGACAAAATGTAAATAAAGCAACGCATGTCAACAGTTTAAGAAAACGAATCCCAATACGTCACATAGCCTACATTTATCTGATTTGAGAAAACAAAATGCCCAAAACATCAATGTCCAATATTACACAAGAGGCACACTAATGGTCTTGTCTTATAACATGTTAGTATTTGAAATTCATAAATAAATAAATACAGAAATACATTTCCTGGTCACTGATGGGAAACAAGTGTGTATGGGCTATTTAAAGTGTAGCAGATGGTGACTTGAAGTGTGCTCCTTCCAGTGTCCCCTTTGAAACTGTGAATGGGTACCTGGTGGGTTAGTTGTTAAATATTTAATAGTAACCCATTAAAACATTAAGGAAAATCTATATTAATGGAAGTGTCTGGAGATTATGAGGGTTAAAGATGGCGTTGAGGGGTTTCCCTGTATGGTTGAAATGTAAAGAACCTTAAACAGATCTTTTTAAAGTGTATAGAAATATACTGTTTGAGAGGTATAAGGTGCAGCTAATTCTTTAAAGGTTTTGACTTGAAACAGGATGGTGTATCGGTCAGGATACAGAGTAAATGATGAGGAGACGTAGATGGTCTTGTGGTCCAGCAGTGTTTATTCACTGACATCCAGTGTTGTACATATTTATATTTGGTGTTCTGTCATTGACTCAACACTGGAAACACTGTTGGATATCCATACAAGGACAGCAGGATCATAACCAAGGTCAAATTTAACATAAACTTTGTTGCAGAGTACAGCGAACTTGTAAGCTGCCGCTCTCATCTCTGACGACACGCACTGTGGTAAACTGTTCATGGGATGCTTACGTCATCAACTTGCAGGAGGAGCGTGATCAATTAACAGGAAAACCACGGACGGTCTGAGCCTTTTATACTTATACACTGGTTTTACGGTTGCACACCTACCTCTTCAAACACACAAACTCCCTCATTCCAGCATCTGGATCCTGAGTCATACAACCCTCAAAGTAAATTACAAATGTCACACTCCCCTCTGCTCCCCTTCTCCCTGCTCATGCCTTACAGGGCTCCTTTAACCTACAGATTCTGTAAATTACAGTGAGCGGATCTTGCGTCTAGATTACAACTCATGAGAGGAAATGTTTGGCTTCAGGTTGTCAAAGTCAGGATGTACTGTTCGTGTGGGTGGTGCCAGACCACACAGTTATGATTTCAAAGAAAGAGACAAGTCCTTTTCCCTGACTTTTTAAAGATGACTTTAAAAAGGAGGTGAGACAAAGATATGGGGGGGGGGCAAAGTGACTTATAGATACAGAAATCATTTTGGATATTGGTATCTTTTAGGAAGGAGAGAGTCAGACATGCAGCCAAGAAGAAGAGACAGAAAGACTGCCAGATTTTAGGAGGGAATAAAAACAGAGACAGCACTGGTGGAACAGTTAAACTAGGTCTGCAATGATGCCTTGGATCTGTTTTGGCCTCGATACAAATATGACCCCCTCTTCCCTGAAGCACAGAGTGACATCCACAAGACAGATGAGGAATATATCCAGATTAATTTAGGCTACAACCATAAATGATGTAACCCTACTTTATGTGAGACATTGGAGACTGGGACCCCTTCTCAGAACAGTTGGACAGTCTCATAAAAGATTTTTTACTGCAGCCATGCTACTCAATTGGGGGACAATTAGAAGTGACGTTCGGGGAGACCCACTATACCCAACTAAAGTTCAGAGCAGCAAGAGATTGCTACCTCGACATCAAACAGCCTGACAGCTTTGAGAAGTGGCCCCTCAAAGTTTTTAATTGGACTCGTAAAGAAAATATGGAGAATATGTTTACCCTAATTAAGCCATAGTGTGTGTGTGTGTGTGTGTGTGTGTGTGTGTGTGTGTGTGTGTGTGTGTGTGTGTGTGTGTGCCTGTACGTTAAATGGTGCTAGAGTAAATTAACATTTAGCAAGCAGCTGAAAAAATGAGCATGAAAGAGGACCCAAGAAAAGACACAATTTGTGCAAGGAACACTGTGAGATTGTGTGTTTGTATACCAGTGTGTGTGTGTGTGTGTGTGTGTGTGTGTGTGTGTGTGTGTGTGTGTGTGTGTGTGTGTGTGTGTGTGTGTGTGTGTTTGTGTGCGTGCATAAAAGCAAACATGTCTGCCTGCTTCTCTGTGATGTGTGATAATTGTCTATGGTTTGTTATGTCTGACTTCAGATCTAAACGTTATGACATGTGAAAAATAGTCAAATGCTGTACAGTCATAGCCAGGCTAACTGCTCCACTTTTACTGTGTGCATTGAAGAATATAATGCATTTGACATCATGTCATTAAAGTATTCTTTCATGGGTGCATGGTGACCACATCAAATGTTTGCTTATGGCGGTTGGTTTGCAACCTTTCACCCGTTTTGTTCTTACTGTCTTAGCAACGTCACAAATATAAAATTCTGACTCACCTGAACCGCCATATCCAGTGAGGAGAATAAAGCTTATGAACTGTATCATCTTAACTTAAACACTGTTGAAGTTGTCTTTCCTTTCCTCTTCTTTCTCCTCTTCCTTGCTTCTTCTTGCCTATTTTCTTGGATCTCCAAATGCCCAGTGATTGCAATCTGCTGCATTTACCTACAGTACCTCTGCAACAACAACACGGCGGGGGTTACTCACCTCATAGGGATCCAAGAAGTAATAAATGACTGATGGAAAACAAAGTTACTTTCCTCCAACTACTAACATTTTGTAGCCATGGCTTGCATCTTTTATTGGACACACAGGTAGAGAAGCGGGGGGGGGGGGGGGGGGGGGTTTGGACACACACTCTTTTGGATACAAATGTGCTCAACCAGCAATCACCTTTTGACCGGTGTGCATCAGAAGCTTACATCAAATCAGAGAGCGCCCCAGTTTCCCTCCCCATCCAGATCATCAATAAGGCAACGCATCAAAGTGTTTTTTCTCTCTCTGTCCTTCGTGGACACATGTCTGTCAACAACTCACACAGGTTGGTGCTTTGTAGTTTACTGCAGGAAATGTCTGAATTGGTTTCAGAGGAGCCAAAGTGGGACAAAGGGGTTCATGGAATGCAGGGATATAAACAAAAGATGCTCTACATTACAAAGACAGGCATGTGTAAATAAACTTGTACCAATGATCCAAATGTTGACTGGCAACAAGAATGATGCAGGAGAAAAGAAAACAAGGAACACAAGAGAGACACATTTGTATTCATGATGGTCAAGTTTGGTCGGATGGGAGAAAACAAGACTTTTAATCAACCACACGCAACTGTGGTGTACCTGACTCGCATTCCTCGCCTCCTGCTCAACCAAGCACTCTGCTTAGCCTAGATCTCCACCACATCAAAGAGCTCTCATTACAGAAGCCATCACACATGCACAGAAAGATTTGGGGAGGGAGAAACAGAGAGCCAGGAGGGAGAAAGGGAGGTGGAAAGACAGGGGGAGTGAGGGAGAGAGCAGCCTTGCTTCCGCTGCATGCAGAAGTATCATTTAAAACAAATCAATTCCGGTCGCTATTTTTCTCACCTGGCAAGACCTTGAACAAGTACAGGCAGGAACTTAAAAAAAACAACAACTAAAAAACGTAATCAAGCAGGGGCAGAAGTCAGAGAAAAATGGCTTTAGTGTGAATATGATTAATATTATCTTGTTAAACTGCTTAATATCTGAATTTTTGTTTCCCATCCAACAGGAAAGAAGAGT